TCTATTCATGAACGGGTCAGGTGACAATATAAGTCTAATATTCTATCTTCATCACTGTTTAACCACACCCCCTTTTTTAGCATCAGAAAAACAAACAAACGCGTAAACAATAACAAGTCACAGGAATTCATCGCGGTCCACACAGCAGAACAGTTTCTCTCACACAACCTAAAAGCTTTAAACGTATGTATTGTAATACATACTGTGCATAAGGACCCGACAGGACCATGTTGATTACTACAGAAATGATAGCAGGACATCTACAATAGGGAGCATAAAAAAAAGTAAAAAAAATGGTAGTCTCTGTGGTAGCTTAGATAACTCTGTGGACTAAAAACTTGGCAAGGGCCATTTTTGTGCAAGTTCAAACCCAGCCGATTTCCTCACCAGCTTTCCCCCCTACATCGTCAGCATTCAATACTTTGGCTTATTATTACCACTCACCCACAACAACACTCAATATATCCAGCACCGTTACACATTCAGTTAAGAGCACACAATCCAGTCGTAATGCACATTTCAATTGTCAAGGTCCTTGAATTTGTGAATCACATTAGATGAAACAGCACAGTACAGTCCTTGTTTGTGTGATATGTCAACCCGCCCAACTCCCCATCCCCAGTCAGTCCCCATGCTATGTGTTTGTACTGAGCTGATGGAGCCTGCCAGGCCTGTGGCTCAGAGCTGCCCTCCCCTGCTCTATAGCCATTTCAACACATTATCCTGTCTGGTAACACAGATGGATCCAATGTTTAACCATTAGAGAGAGCATGGCATCTAGTGCAGCCTGGGGTTCAGCGGGATTCTACTGTCAATAACAGCAAAGCAGCAACATGAGATGGCGGGCCATAGAGGGACCAATGGCTGTAAGGGCTGAGTCACGCCAGGCCAGGCCATGTATTGTATAGTAAATGGCCGTGCCCACCTTAACCATTAGCTGTCCAAACAGAGAGGGAGGGGCCTGTTATAAAATTTGGCTTTTTTCTTAACTAACTACTCTTCTGCACCACAAAATATGGGGAAGGTACAATTTCTCAGATTTCAACATTTGTTTGAAAAAAATAACACTGGACTGAGCTCCATCAGTGACCAAAAAGGGCTGTAGATTATCTTTGGCGATCATTCAACCAGGATATCATTCCATCTGAACTTCCAGTGTTCCCAACGTCCCACTCCCTAGTCTACGTCTTGAACAAGCACATAATTCAAATAGTAAGGTCAATTCAAAGCACATACAGTGAGAGAAAAAAAAGTATTTGATCCCCTGCTGATTTTGTACGTTTGCCCACTGACAAAGAAATGAGTGGCGCAGTGGTCTAAGGCACTGCATCGCAGTGCTAACTGTGCCACTAGAGATCCTGGTTCGAATCCAGGCTCTGTCGCAGCCGGCCGCGACCGGGAGACTCATGGGCGGCGCACAATTGGCCCAGCATCGTCCAGGGTAGGGGAGGGAATGGCCGGCAGGGATGTAGCTCAGTTGATAGAGCATGGCGTTTGCAATGCCAGGGTTGTGGGTTCGATTCCCACGGGGGGCCAGTATAAAAAAAATATGTATTCACTAACTGTAAGTCGCTCTGGATAAGAGCGTCTGCTAAATGACTAAAATGTAAATGATCAGTCTATAATTTTAATGGTAGGTTTATTTGAACAGTGAGAGACAGAATAACAACAAATAAATCCAGAAAAACGCATGTCAAAAATTGTATAAATTGATTTGCATTTTATTGAGGGAAATAAGTATTTGACCCCCTCTCAATCAGAAAGATTTCTGGCTCCCAGGTGTCTTTTATACAGGTAACGAGCTGAGATTAGGAGCACACTCTTAAAGGGAGTGCTCCTAATCTCATCTTGTTACCTGTATAAAAGACACCTGTCCACAGAAGCAATCAATCAATCAGATTCCAAACTCTCCACCATGGCCAAGACCAAAGAGCTCTCCAAGGATGTCAGGGACAAGATTGTAGACCTACACAAGGCTGGAATGGGCTACAAGACCATCGCCAAGCAGCTTGGTGAGAAGGTGACAACAGTTGGTGCGATTATACGCAAATGGAAGAAACACAAAATAACTGTCAATCTCCCTCGGCCTGGGGCTCCATGCAAGATCTCACCTCGTGGAGTTGCAATGATCATGAGAATGGTGAGGAATTAGCCCAGAACTACATGGGAGGATCTTGTCAATGATCTCAAGGCAGCTGGGACCATAGTCACCAAGAAAACAATTGGTAACACACTACGCCGTGAAGGACTGAAATCCTGCAGCGCCCGCAAGGTCCCCCTGCTCAAGAAAGCACATATACAGGGCCGTCTGAAGTTTGCCAATGAACATCTGAATGATTCAGAGGAGAACTGGGTGAAAGTGTTGTGGTCAGATGAGACCAAAATGGAGCTCTTTGGCATCAACTCAACTCGCCGTGTTTGGAGGAGGAGGAATGCTGCCTATGACCCCAAGAACACCATCCCCACCGTCAAACATGGAGGTGGAAACATCATGCTTTGGGGGTGTTTTTCTGCTAAGGGGACAGGACAACTTCACCGCATCAAAGGGACGATGGACGGGGCCATGTACCGTCAAATCTTGGGTGAGAACCTCCTTCCCTCAGCCAGGGCATTGAAAATGGGTTGTGGATGGGTATTCCAGCATGACAATGACCCAAAACACATGGCCAAGGCAACAAAGGAGTGGCTCAAGAAGAAGCACATTAAGGTCCTGGAGTGGCCTAGCCAGTCTCCAGACCTTAATCCCATAGAAAATCTGTGGAGGGAGCTGAAGGTTCGAGTTGCCAAACGTCAGCCTCGAAACCTTAATGACTTGGAGAAGATCTGCAAAGAGGAGTGGAACAAAATCCCTCCTGAGATGTGTGCAAACCTGGTGGCCAACTACAAGAAACGTCAGACCTCTGTGATTGCCAACAAGGGTTTTGCCACCAAGTACTAAGTCATGTTTTGCAGAGGGGTCAAATACTTATTTCCCTCATTAAAATGCAAATCAATTTATAACATTTTTGACATGCGTTTTTCTGGATTTTGTTGTTGTTATTCTGTCTCTCACTGTTCAAATAAACCTACCATTAAAATTATAGACTGATCATGTCTTTGTTAGTGGGCAAACGTACAAAATCAGCAGGGATCAAATACTTTTTTCCCTCACTGTAAGAATAACTGGAAAATAGAAACAACGGGACAAGAGAGCAGCAGAAAAGATTAGCTTAGCATTTTGAATAACTATTATGCAGTTCCTCTCTGTAGAATTCTATTGTCTGGCTCATAAAGGAAGTTGCTTTTAAAAAACAAAACATCTTTGTTTTACACATTAGTTTGAGGTCTAAAGCTTATTCTAATGGCTGTGGAGTGGCAGGTCGGAGGGAATAGGCTAACCCTGGGGAATATAAAGCAGTATGTTCCAGAAGCATTGCTTACTAAGGACCACTCTTCACACATATTCAGTTCATACAAATAACAAACCAGAACTCAAATCTATAATACATTGATTGTTGGTTGTCTTTTTTCAATTTTGCAAACAAATCAATTTCTTTGGAAATAGATAATCTGTCACAAGAGATTTAAAGTGCATTCAATGATTGATGTGCTAATACGACCAATCCTTAAAACAGGGGAAACTTAAGATATGTCAGAGTGTTGTGGTTTGTCTTGTTTCTTTTGTTCATTTTTCACAGAGTTCACATGAGACACTTATTTTCTTTGACTTTAGATGCCTCTGATCTACATTTGGATACAATATCAAGCTTAAAGCCAACAATGATTATGAAAATAAACAAACATAAAAAGATTCACCAGGTAACAAAGGAATTGCAATGTCAAATAACAAACCAGACAAAAAAAAATAGACCCAACAGGAGTTTAACATGGTAACGTGTAAATCGGACTAAAAACTGAAAATCCACGATTTGTGAAAAAAGACTAGTTATATACACTAAAATATCCCCACATATGGTAGCTTAACAAAAGGTTGACCGAACAGTAAGAACTATAAAGAAAAACCATAGACAGACACAAAAACAAAAATAGAAAGTGAGGAGAAAAAAAGGCTTGCCAGGCAGACCTGCAGGTGATTCACAGTTAGCCACATGGTCACAGTTGAGAATTCAATCTGCAGCGTTTTATTCCAGATTGCAGACAGCCAGACAAGCCGTTTGGGGAAAAACAAAGACATTTGAAAAGTTCTGATGGCATGTCATTGGAAGTTGTCACTATACCTTATTTCATTCCAAGTGGTGTGCCTCAAAGAAGAGGGCTGTGAGAGAGCAGGAAGTCTGCTTTATCCAAGCCCACGGGGATCTAGCATAACACTGACAGCTGCAGACAGCTTTACCCACAGCCAAACACAGTATCTGGCAACTTTTCACATTCAGACACCAAAGTGCAGTTTAAAGCTATATCAGCTTTACTTTACAATCACAGCTTACTAGAAAACTTGAGGACAGTCCCCAATAATTGCCATATCCTAAGGCCTTTCTGGGCTTAAACTCTTGTACCACAACTCCAAAACAATTTAATGATCTGCAGGACAGTTTGAATAAAGATAACTACCACAATCACATTTATGTAAAATCAAATCTAAAGTTGGATCTCTCAAGTAGGATAGATAAATACTGTAAACCAGTATCCAGAAAATAACATACTGTATCTTCCCAGTCTGATGTGGACAAGCACCACACTGAAACAATGATAAACCTCTTTACAAAACTGTTAATGTAAATTGGCGCTCTATACTATGGAAATCCAAATGGCATATTTCCATATTTCCATGGAAGATACACAGCAATAATCTCTAGGACAACAGAATATCTGTGCAAGGTGGCCTCTATCAATTAAGACCTTGTTGTAAAAGTGGATCTTTACATCCCCCCCACGACACGTTAAGTACCAATAGCACACAGAGACCTCTACACTAAGGCCTTCATCATGGCTAACCTTTCTACCACCACACACACACTAGCATGATTATTCCAGAATATCTTCTTACAATCAGAATACTTATTTTTCAAGGGAAATCACTAAGAATATTAGGACTCAATGTCATGTTCTGACACAGAACATTTGATTTGAGCGCGACTGCATTCTCTAACAACCAGATTGCTTTAAGAATCTCTCCACACAAAAACATCTCTAAAACCCATGTCCACCCGGTCCTACTTAAAGCCTAGAAAAATACTCACACCAGTTCATATGACTCATACCAAAGCGCTCAACCACTCACTGCATTGACTGGCAGGTAAAGCTGTCTTACAGCTGAAGGATTGTTTAGGGCATTGGGCGCCCACTGAGAATCTCTAGTGCTGGCACACATGATCCTACCCACCAGAAAATGAGAGGTACAGTATGGTGACAACTTTATGACACTACATGCCATCGTAGGTGAAATTCTCCTTCTTGACAGTTTGTCTAATGAGCAGCTTCGATTCCCGCCTCTCCTCGTTCTTGATGGATTTGTTGATATCCATAATTTTTTCACAGATGTATTTGTTCACTTTGGACAATCTTTGTGTGATCTCTGCGCTGTCTGCCGTTTCTTGAGACACTCTGTCATATAGACACTCTGTAAAAAAATAAAAGGAAATAAGTGTGCATTACTCATCCCCCAAAATTAAGAGATATTTCCAAACTTTGTGAGTTGCAAACAGTGCCTAAAACATCTGAAAGCAGGCCTACACAGTTTTACCTCTGACTATTTTCAGCTTGCTTGGGGAGAGGGGGGGCTTGGGAAGGGCATCTTTCTTCTTTTTGGTGGCCACGCCAGTGACACTCCTATTCTTGAGCGTCTCAGTGCCCCAGATCATGACGGCCAGGTTCTTGGTGAACTTGGAGTCTCCCTGTGTCCTCTGTAGCTGATGCCACTTCTCTTCCTGCACCCAGATGCCCCCGCCCAGGTGCACCTGCAGGAACACAGCACAGATATGTAGTGAGGGTCACCTACACTCAGACCTGTGACCACACTGGACTATAACCAACAGCAGCAAAGCAGCCCATCCCACAACTATTCAGCCCAAATTAGAAATCAAAGAGTCATGCTTCAGCAGCTACATAAATAAGTAAGGGGCAGTGGTTTCCAGCCTGGATGACTTGCACTGAGTATTTATACTGGCATAGAACCACAGAGCGGTATGTTGCGTAAGTCTGCACCAAACAACTCTACAAGCGGATTGACAGGCCTGCCCTGAGTTAAAGATGAGCTTATGCAGAGAGCGCCATGTGTGCCGCCCTGCCTTTATCACTGAGAAGTCTTTAGGCTGGCATCCAAAGGCTTTTCCCTTTGCAGCTAATGTGCTTTAGGCCCCTGGCCAGCAGACAAGCTTTCCACTGCTCTTAACTTAGAGGAGCCCTTTCTCTTTTTTCTTTCTTGGGCTACCTGTCAGTCACTTCAATTCCTCTGGTAGAAATAATTAATAGCGGGCAACGTGTGAGAGTTCTAATTTGCTTTTGTTCTTCACGCTTGAATTGAGAGGCTCTCTGCTTGTAACACAAATCCCCCCCCTGTCATGTGAAGCAGGCAGAATTACTACGTGTATAGCCCTGCAACCACTATCAGGGCAATAAACAGTGCTGATGCCTAAGCTATACGGACAATCATCTCAGCCTTGTTTACCCTCAAGGAGAGGTGAAGGCTAGTGCAATGCAAGTTCCCAAGTTCATGTGTAAGGGAAAATAGAATGCTTCCTCCCCATCAAAGCGACCACAGCGAGGAAGAAAGAGAGGGGGTGAGATCGGGGGCGGTGAGACTCACCTTGCCATCATTACAAGTGTAGACTGTTCTTGGGGAGGGGGAGTGGCTGGAGCTGGTATTGGCCTCTTCTCTGCACACTTCCTGTGGCTCAATGATGGGCTCCACCACCTCCACTTTGATTGTCTGAGTGCCATTGTCATGCATAGGCTCTGTATAAGGTGCAAAATCAAAAGTAATGTTGAGATGTATATCTCTAGGCACATTGTGTAGTGTTGTTAGTCTCTCAGATAACAACAAGCCTAGAACACTGGCAGAGGCCTTGACTCAACCACAGCAGCATGTGGTTAGGGAGTTCTAGTCTTAGCTTTGGATCGGCGCCTGCAGCAATGCTTCACTGTGCCTCGAGACTGTTGGGTTATTTTAACCCAGTAGGCTTGATGGTTGGCCACACTAAGCGCTAATGTAGCTGATGAGTTTTAATATTGGTCAGCGCAATACATTCCTGACCCGAAAGCACCGTTGCCAGTATAATCTCTAGCCCGTCCATTAGACCGCCTTGCTCCCATATCACACCAATGCAAAACACATGGAGCTGGCCATGGGACTGGCTTGAGGCCTGCACTTCTACACTACAGTAGTCTCAAGGTTCTAGAACTAACTTTTTCCACTGGTGGCACTACTGGTGCTACATACGTTTTCAGTTGATGGCACCAGCAATTTTCCGCGTCTGTGCACCGATAATGACCTGACCTATGTCCGTTTATACAATCAATTATATAATCAATTTGACTTTGTTTTTACCACTCTGACTACATAATGGTAATCATTTATTTGAATGTTAAATCTCTATTGATAAACTGAGTAAATAAAGATGTAGCCTAGGCCTATTCACAATACAGGTGAATGCATATTCAATAGGAGTGTGTGCATGCATTGAGTTATGGAGCTTCTTTTGGCTGATTTCATGGGGCTAGATGAAAAACAATGTTTCCCTTCATTTTGGGAGTTATTTTATTGCACTGATCAACAACATTTGCATTGAAGAAGCAAACTCTTCTTTTATAAAAGTGTGCGCTGTCTCTTTAAGACCTAATGACATAATTCACTCACACAATAAGTACATTTACATGCACAGTTATAATTCGATATTAAAGTGATTATAGTAGTAGGCAGATTATGCAATAGTCATGTAAACACCCCTTACTCTGCTTATTTTAAATCGGCGTAAAGTCAAAGTCAAAATCGAAGTAAGCATCCGCTGATTAAAACGGCTGGTTTTCTGAGTAATCTTTTGAATTATTAGGACATATAAACACCTTAAATCGGTGTTCCAGCGGTGTATTTAATCTGCGCATGTGCTAGGACCAGCCGAGCGAGCTTTCCTCTTTAGCGCTAGTGAAGTAAGTTCGGAACAACAATGTATGCGTCTTAGAAGTCGTTTTCACATACAAACTTCATATGTCCGAACTCAGAATCAAATATGCTTCCCAAAAATAACATGGCCGTTGTGGTAGAACGTTTATTTTGATTGGCAATTTTCTGCATTTATCAGAGTGCCATCAGGTGCCTGATTTCAGATGTGTCCATGTAAACAGGATTATTAGGGAATTCATTCTTCTTGCAAAGCATGTAAACATTTTAATCAAACTATTCTATTAATCTGACTATCCACAATTATCGCATTATTGTGTGCATGTAACCGTACTCAGTGAGAGAGAGAAGATACGCGAGGTGAGGGAGACAAAGTGAATGAATAACGTTCTTGGCAATGACTATGATTCTTGGTGACAACTTTGAAATCAGCCTTTTTTTGCGTTATGGTATCACAAACAAGGTACTAGGGTAGTAAATTGATGTTAGTGACAGTTCAAAATTTACTGGGGAGGGTCCAACTCACGGTTTAGTAAAAAAAATGCTCCCCCTCCCCAACGTTACAAATATTTTCACATGACCCTCCACTTACTGTACAAAAAAAATACAAATGAATTAACAATGCTGACAATGATCAGCTAGGGGGAAATCAGATTTTCTACATTTTGATTCTATATTTACATAAAATATATGCTACAAATTGTCCCTCTCTAGCGACTCCTGTGGCGAGCCGGGCGCATACACGCTGACACGGTCACCAGTTGTACAGTGTTTCCTCTGACATATTGGTGTGGCTGGCTTACGGGTTAAGCGAGCAGTGTGTCAAGAAGCAGTGCGGCTTGGCAGGGTCGTGTTTCGGAGGACACATGGCTCTCGACCTTCGCCTCTCCCAAGTCCGTACGGGAGTTGCAGTGATGGGACAAGACTGTAACTACCAATTGGATATCACAAAAATGGGGAGCAAAATGGGTATAAAAAACCCCCCAAAAAACATTGTGACTGGTTGAGTTTATGCCACACATAAAAGGTAATGACAAAAAGTTAAATGACAAATATCTTGGCTATATTGAAGTGTTAAGTTCTAGGTACGTGAGGAATAGCCTCTCGGATCAGAGAGGAGGCAGAGCGCACATTAAGCGTTCCTGAATAACTGGGCCTACTGGGAGCATAGACCTATGTGGCCACATTATTGGGAGAATAATGATCCGCAACAGACAGCGCATCTCAGTATCAGAAGTAAAAATACAGCCAGACTGGCTTGCTACTGTAAAAATACAGCCAGACTGGCGTGCTACTGTAAAAATACAGCCAGACTGGCGTGCTACTGTAAAAATACAGCCAGACTGGCGTTCTACTGTAGAAATACAGCCAGACTGGCGTGCTACTGTAATAATACAGCCAGACTGGCGTTCTACTGTAGAAATACAGCCAGACTGGCGTGCTACTGTAAAAATACAGCCAGACTGGCGTGCTACTGTAAAAATACAGCCAGACTGGCGTGCTACTGTAAAAATACAGCCAGACTGGCGTGCTACTGTAAAAATACAGCCAGACTGGCGTGCTACTGTAAAAATACAGCCAGACTGGCGTGCTACTGTAAGAATACAGCCAGACTGGCGTGCTACTGTGCCTTTCTAAACCTTATAAACTGTCGAGAGTATAACCACAACTGATTCAAAAGGAATGAATGGAAATCACAGGGCTTTTGCGCCGTTAATAAAATGACATTTTCACTGCAGTTTACAGCCTAAAGTAGAATTTTGTGCTACCTTGAAAACAGTAATACAATTATTCATTGCATTGTGGTGTTGTAGGCTAGTCTAGGTAGGATAATTGTATTGTCCTTAAACAAGATCAATCAGGGAGCTCTATGAGCTGCGTGTCTCATGTCTTCACTGTTCTTCCATTCGCAATGAGGCACCTGGCCTCTCTGCTGCCTATCAGCTATTCCTCTATGTTCTTGTGGAATAAAAAAATCTAAACTGGTGCAGCTTTGAATGATTTAAGTTAGCCTATTGCAGATCTGGACAAACAATCCACCTACCACTATTGTCACTATGAATGGTGGATAGAGGGCAGGATAGACAAACTGGTAGACTATATTGACCTGTGGTATAGCACGCGGAAAAGCATAGTGCAAAAGGGAAGTACCAAAACACCTTGATAGGGAAGGCGCATGCTAGCAGATGAGGAAATGTAGCTAGGATGGAATAAATTATATAGTAAAACCTGCAAAATGTAAACCAGGGAAAAAATGCACTACCCTCCCCTGTATCTAATTTTAAAAAACACACAACCCTCCCCAAAGGAAAAAAAATAAGTTTAACAACCGCCCCAGCAAGGAACGTTAGCCTACAAAGCTGGAAGCTACTGGTATCTTCCTGCATTGTAAAGTGTTCTAGCCTGTAATGCACATAGTTTTGCGAACAGTAAATAACAATATTTCTACATGCCGTGTTGCATTATTCAAGTGTGCTAACTTCTGTGCAGCATGGGTGGGGAGCTAACATGATGCAGCCCAGACTCCCAGTGAGTGCAGTGGTTCCTCAGGACAGGCTAGAGCTAGCAATGAGTAAGTGGAGCAGGCACGGTACGCTCACGCTATAAGGGGACATCGGCTGCGCTGATACAGACTTGATCCTCTCTCAATCAGTACAATATTTAAGTTTTTAGCAAACTCACCGATTACACCACTTCCTCTCTCCCTCTCTCTAGAAACTATAAGTCCAAATAGCTGTAGTATCAAGCAAATACTACGTTTTACAACATAAACACACTAAAGACTTTAACGATAACAACCAAATATTTCATAACTTGTTATCAACTGTGCAGCTGATTGCTAAAAAGCATATACAACAGTACCCAAACCTACAGATTAAACATCTCGACAACTCTGAATGTGGGTGACACTAGTCTAGTAAAACAGTTTTTTCTTAACCTGAACAAACGTGCATGGCAGGCTGCAGTGAGAGGTGACTGGAGAGTGTGTGTCTCTCACCGCTGCCCAGCCTCATGAGGAGCACGTCCTGCAGCCTCCTGTTGAAGTCACGCAGCTCCTTCACCTCTGTCAGCAGGTTGCCATACTCCTTCAGCTTCTTGGCCTGTTGGACCAGCTGCCTGCGGGTTCTCTCCAGCTCCTGCTGTAGCCTCCTCATCTCTTCCTCCTGCTGCCTGTAGCTGTGGACCAGCTCCTCATACAGAACCCGCGGTACCACCGCCTTCTCAGGCCCAGAGTCACCATCCTCTTCTTCTTCCAACTCAGCCAGTCGGTCCTCCTCCAGGTCATCCTCTCCCTCTATGCAGGAACTCACAGCGTTCCTCTCCAGGCGGGCCACCACCGCTGCCAGGCTCTTCGAGGAGTTGCCTGTGGGACGCCCATTGTCCTGTGTCTGGGCCTGTAGAATCAAATAGGACTTAATGCAGGTTATCATTGTGATAATAATGAAGTGGAGCCTGCATCATCAATTCATGTGATAACAGTGATCTGGTGTGTCATAAATGTCATATTTTCAGTCAAATAAAAACTAATTTTTGACTATATATTTATATACTGAACAAAAATATAAATGCAACATGCAACAATTTTCCTGAGTTACAGTTCATATAAGGAAATCAGTGAATTTAAATAAATAAATTAGGCCCTAATCTATGGATTTCACTTGACTGAGCAGGGGCTCAGCCATGGGTGGGCCTGGGCGGGTATAGGCCCACCCACTTGGGAGCCAGGCCCACCCACTGGGGAGCTAGGCCCAGCCAATCAAAATGATTTTTTCCACATAAAAGGGCTTTATTACAGACAGAACTACTCCTCAGTTTCATCAGCTGTCCGGGTGGCAGGTCTCTGGCGATCCCGCAGGTAAAGAAGCCGGATGCGGAGGTCCTGGGCTGGCATGGTTACACGTGGTCTGCGGTTGTGAGGCCGGTTGGGCATACCAAATTCTCTATAACGACGTTGGAGCCGACTTATAGTAAAGAATTGAACATTCAATTCTCTGGCAACAGTTCTGGTGGACATTCCTGCAGTCAGCATGCCAATTGCACACTCCCTCAAAACTTGAGACATCTGTGTTGTGTAACAAAACTGAACATTTTAGAGTGGCATTTTATTGTCCCCAGCACAAAGTGCACCTGTGTAATGACCATGTTTAATCAGCTTCTTGATATGCCACAACTGTCAGGTGGATGGATTATCTTGGCAAAGGAGAAATACTCAATAACAGGGAAATAAACAAATTTGTGCACAAAAGCGTTGAGAAATAAGCTTTTTGTGCGTATGGAACATTTCTGGGATCTTTTATTTCAGCTCATAAAACATGGGACCAACACTTTATGTTGTGTTTATATTTTTGTTCAGTATATATTTAGTTTAAAATGTAAATGTTGAGTGGATGTCCATATATCCATAGCGGTGGGGGGGCTAGCTTGACAAAATTATATGATGTGCTATAAATCACTGGGAAGAGTGGAGTCATGAGGTTGTTTGATGAGCAGCTCAGAGGACTTGCCTGTTAAAGGGCAGCTGTCCAGAGTGCTGAATTTGTGTTCATCCAGCATATGGTTAAACAAATAGCAGGGGGATTATTGGGCAACGTCCAAACTCATAGTAACAGTTCGTTATATTATAAAAAGCGATTACCATCAGTATTCGTCATAATCCTTGAGAACAGCATTATTAGAGAAGATTTTGAATCACTCAAATCAAATTTTATTTGTCACATGCTTCATAAACAACAGGTGTTGACTAACAGTAAAATGCTTACTTACGCACCATCAAATTCACTGAGCACAAAATCATAGAAATGCTCTAACAGTTTGAAAACTATGACTAGTTTTGACTACCTTGCTTAGTTGAACTTACCTTTTTATGTCTCAGTGGCAGTCGTTCCTCCCCAAAGTGGTTCTCAACTAAATTTCCCATATTCCTTGTCGACATCTTAGGAATTTTCATCTTCTTTTGAATTATATTATGTTCAAACTCATCAATGTTATCTGCAAAATAGAGCTAAGGGTCAGCAGAAATCAAACATATAAACTCTTCAGACAAAAATAAAGGTTACATAAGAGAAAAAATAATTTTCTCCAAATCAGAGTGAATTTTTAAGGAGTGTTATGGCAAATATTAGGGTGATCAGTGCCAGTTCGAAAATGAAATGCTTAGATTCTAAATAGGTATGTGAAAATTATAAATGTATATATTTTTTTCATATCAGTGCGCATGATTCATGGCACAATTAAATTGTAAAATGAAAATAGAAAATGGTTAATTGAAAATGGTAAATGGAAAAAATTAATTCTAAATAAAAATGGTAAATTATAAAAGTATTGCCCATGATTTTGGAATGAAATGTTCGATGAGCAGTTGTCCACATACTTCTGGTAATGCAGTGTATAAGTATGCCCCCCAATACAATTCTGAAGTCTAATACATTCACAGTCAGAGTTTGGAAATCTGCATTTTCAAAACACAGACCCCCAAAAAATAATCTGTTTTTTAAACCATTTCACCTGCGTTTTATATTGAAAGTGAACAGTGTTTTTTTTGCTTCAATAGAGTGATCAGGGGCGTGCAACTATAGTTCTCCTTCACAGAAAATACATTAGTGCAACACATTCGGGAGAAAATAGTATGGTATTTTTTGGCTAAAACTGCATGGCCATCATATTTCTGTGTAAGTAGGGTACACAGAGAAAAAGTACAGGAGGTAAGTTGCTACACATCAGTCAGAGCGCCGTCTGTTGATGGATGACAATTCACGAACGGCCATTCTGAGTGGAGAACTGCAACTGAAGCACAAAATGAGTCTAACCGAGCAGAAATTACAATAAGAACCATTTTAGATCTGCATTTAGAAAACGCAGCAAGATATTTCATATGAGCTACATCTTTTTTTTCAACTACATTTTTAAATGAACTATTGTCTTTTGTAGAATTTATATAACAATCCAACATTATCTAGTCCAAATATGCATTATTCCTCTATTTGTATACATTTGCAACACTTTCAATGAGGAACCTTTATTTTGAAGGTGATCGCAAATTCCACTATTAAGGCTAATCCTTATTGTGGACAACTTCACATAAGTATGTGTTTTCTAGCTACCTAGCTATGGAACGAGATACCTGCCAAAAAGGTTGAACGTACGTATCGTTAGGATCGTTAAAAAATCCATATATAAATTGTTAGGATCGTAAGAAAAGCCATGTGTAAACATGACATTTAATCTGTGAACATACAAACATCATGTTATGATTACGGACTAACATTTTAGGCTTGAACAAATCGTGTGTTGCAATTCCGACATACAATAATACCTTTCAGAGTTTTGGCAGTTTCATCTCACCAACAAAAAAAACGGCCTGTGAGGATTGCTACGCGAACAAGCATAACACAGTATAAAAAAAACGGAAGTCAGGGAAACCGGAAAGAGGCATCCTGCATATTTTCAAGTTAAAGTCTCCATTCTCTATTACTCCCAGGTTTGCCAGGTCTAGCTAAATTTCTAGCCCATGAACACTCAAAACCTACCCAAAAGGCCTAAAAACAAGCCCTTTTTTTACAGCAAGAAAGGAGTTGCCATATTTATACAAGAAACCCTTTTTCCATAACGTTATCGAGCCAATTAAAAACAAATATCGTAGTAACTTGTAACGACGTTAGAAGCAAAATGAGGTTTTCCTAAAAATAATTATTATTGGGAGCTATGACATGACGTAATAAAGGAATTTGAATATGTGAAAAGAGTATAGATAATTGGCCCTTATTAAACTCGACAGATCATTTTCCATCAATGGATGTCGATTTAACTAATTGACTGCTATGATTAAGCAATAAGGCACAAGGGGGTATGGTACAGTGAGGGAAAAAAGTATTTGATCCCTGCTGATTTTGTACGTTTGCCCACTGACAAAGACATGATCAGTCTATAATTTTAATGGTAGGTTTATTTGAACATTGAGAGAGAACAACAACAACAAAAATCCAGAAAAACGCATGTCAAAAATATTATAAATTGATTTGCATTTTAATGAGGGAAATAAGTATTTGACCCCTCTGCAAAACATGACTTAGTACTTGGTGGCAAAACCCTTGTTGGCAATCACAGAGGTCAGACGTTTCTTGTAGTTGGCCACCAGGTTTGCACACATCTCAGGAGAGATTTTGTTCCACTCCTCTTTGCAGATCTTCTCCAAGTCATTAAGGTTTCGAGGCTGACGTTTGGCAACTCGAACCTTCAGCTCCCTCCACAGATTTTCTATGGGATTAAGGTCTGGAGACTGGCTAGGCCACTCCAGAACCTTAATGTGCTTCTTCTTGAGCCACTCCTTTGTTGCCTTGGCCATGTGTTTTGGGTCATTGTCATGCTGGAACACCCATCCACGACCCATTTTCAATGCCCTGGCTGAGGGAAGGAGGTTATCACCCAAGATTTGACGGTACATGGCCCTGTCCATCGTCCCTTTGAAGCGGTGAAGTTGTCCTGTCCCCTTAGCAGAAAAACACCCCCAAAGCATAATGTTTCCACCTCCATTTTTGACAGTGGGGATGGTGTTCTTGGGGTCATAGGCAGCATTCCTCCTCCTCCAAACACGGCGAGTTGAGTTGATGCCAAAGAGCTCGATTTTGGTCTCATCTGACCACAACACTTTCACCCAGTTCTCCTCTGAATCATTCAGATGTTCATTGGCAAACTTCAGACGGCCCTGTATATGTGTTTTCTTGAGCAGGGGGGCCTTGCGGGCGCTGCAGGATTTCAATCCTTAACGGTATAGTGTGTTACCAGTTGTTTTCTTGGTGACTATGGTCCCAGCTGCCTTGATATCATTGACAAGATCCTCTTGTGTAGTTCTGGGCTGATTCCTCACCGTTCTCATGATCATAGCAACTCCACGAGGTGAGATCTAGCATGGAGCCCCAGGCCGAGGGAGATTGACAGTTATTTTGTGTTTCTTCCATTTGTGAATAATCGCACCAACTGTTGTCACCTTCTCACCAAGCTGCTTGGCGATGGTCTTGTAGCCCATTCCAGCCTTGTGTTGGTCTACAATCTTGTCCCTGACATCCTTGGAGAGCTCTTTGGTCTTGGCCATGGTGGAGAGTTTGGAATCTGATTGATTGATTGCTTCTGTAGACAGGTGTCTTTTATACAGGTAACACGCTGAGATTAGGAGCACTCCCTTTAAGAGTGTGCTCCTAATCTCAGCTCGTTACCTGTATAAAACACACCTTGGAGACAGAAATCTTTCTGATTGAGAGGGGGTCAAATACTTATTTCCCTCATTAAAATGCAAATCAATTTATAACATCTTTGACATGCGTTTTTCTGGATTTTGTTGTTGTTATTCTGTCTCTCACTGTTCAAATAAACCTACCATTAAAATTATAGACTGATCATTTCTTTGTCAGTGGCAAACGTACAAAATCAGCAGGGGATCAAATACTTTTTTCCCCTCACTGTATATGGCCAATATACCACGGCTAAGGGCTGTTCTTATGCATGAGGCAACGCAGAGTGCCTGGATACAGCCGTTAGCAATGGTATACCACAAACCCCTGGGGTGCCTTATTGCTATTATAAACTGGTTACCAACGTAATTAGAACAGTAAAAAGTAATTTTGTTGTCATACCCGTGGTATATGGTCTGATATACCACATCTTTTAGCCAATCAGCATTCAGGGCTCGAACCAGGTTTATAATTGTAAATAAATCCCCTTTGCGCATGTGCATAACTATAGATAAATCCAACAGCAGAGTTTGAGTGATGAAAGCTGGACAGAGGATCTCAATCTTTGAGCAAGAAACACTTGGACAAACATTTAGGCTATTTTCTGGAAATGGTGCTGTTATTATGTGCCAGATGTTAAGACTAAAATCCGTTATAAATGGCGCATTTGCGAGATCGACTTGTCATTTCAATAGGCATAGACTACAGATTAAAATCTGGGTTTATGATTGTAATTACATTTTGCAATGGTTTGCTTAGATAAAGGCAGGTAGCCTATAGTGCCTGATAGACCTACAGTGGGGAAAAAAAGTATTTAGTCAGCCACCAATTGTGCAAGTTCTCCCACTTAAAAAGATGAGAGAGGCCTGTAATTTTCATCATAGGTACACGTCAACTATGACAGACAAAATGAGAAGAAAAAAATCCAGAAAATCACATTGTAGGATTTTTAATGAATTTATTTGCAAATTATGGTGGAAAATAAGTATTTGGTCAATAACAAAAGTTTCTCAATTCTTTGTTATATACCCTTTGTTGGCAATGACACAGGTCAAACGTTTTCTGTAAGTCTTCACAAGGTTTTCACACACTGTTGCTGGTATTTTGGCCCATTCCTCCATGCAGATCTCCTCTAGAGCAGTGATGTTTTGGGGCTGTCGCTGGGCAACACTACTTTCAACTCCCTCCAAAGATGTTCTATGGTGTTGAGATCTGGAGACTGGGTAGGCCACTCCAGGACCTTGAAATGCTTCTTACGAAGCCACTCCTTCGTTGCCCGGGCGGTGTGTTTGGGATCATTGTCATGCTGAAAGACCCAGCCACGTTTCATCTTCAATGCCCTTGCTGATGGAAGGAGGTTTTCACTCAAAATCTCACCATACATGGCCCCATTCATTCTTTCCTTTACACGGATCAGTCGTCCTGGTCCCTTTGCAGAAAAACAGCCCCAAAGCATGATGTTTCCACCCCCATGCTTCACAGTAGGTATGGTGTTCTTTGGATGCAACTCAGCATTCTTTGTCCTCCAAACACGACGAGTTGAGTTTTTACCAAAAAGTTCTATTTTGGTTTCATCTGACCATATGACATTCTCCCAATCCTCTTCTGGATCATCCAAATGCACTCTAGCAAACTTCAGACGGGCCTGGACATGTACTGGGTTAAGCAGGGGGACACGTCTGGCACTGCAGGATTTGAGTCCCTGGCGGCGTAGTGTGTTACTGATGGTAGGCTTTGTTACTTTGGTCCCAGCTCTCTGCAGGTCATTCACTAGGTC